AAACATTTCCATCAATTTTTTTTAATTTTTATAGATTTGCAGTATCGTGTCACCCTTGATTCACTAAGACAGATATCACGAAGTTTTTTCTCTGGAACTCAAGAGAGAAAGATTCAAAGAAACATCACAGTTCGAGAATCAGAATGCACTAAGCACTCCTTCTACATGTTGGCAAGTAAATCATATATCATAGCTGCCTTATTCCAAATCAAGACTATAGTAGACATGTCTTATTTGAAGTCAATCAAATTATTACTGTTTTATTCCAAAGTGCACAAAATAAAGTAAACTTTAGTTCGTTCACTCTTATTGGAAAATCACGGGTCTAATTTTCTTATGTCCAAATGCATTTCATGAAACTATCTTTAGCCTTCCTTGGGCGTGTTATCAGACATCCATATATTATGGAATAATAGTAAAAGGCACAGTGCACTAGATGACAAGATACTTTATTCACTTACTCATTTCACTCATTTTTTTCATTTATTCTTTCAACTTGGAAACATCATTTGTGCATGATAAGTCATTAACAGCCCTGAGGGCAGACCGTTGGGTCATATGATTTCTGGGATCAACTGAACTGTGTATCTCTCTCTTTGACTTTCGATTGAAGGGAAAAACATCTGGTATTTTCTATCATCTGTAGGCTTTGTGCTACTTCAGTTTCTATTTTAGTGCATGAGAGAGGCTTGGAAAGTGAATTATTAATCTCTAGAGATGGCTGGTAAGCCAGTTTGAACCTGTGTATGGGGCACTGTGTCTGTGGCGAGTGTTCCCAACTGAGGGCAGGAGTTTCTTAAGCATTTTCTTAAAATGTACATGATAGTAATAAAAATAAAAAAGCAGAAGGAAGGTAATGAGGAACATTGATTTTAATGAGGAACTGAGATGAAGATCAGAGACTTGAACATGATCCTAGAGTTTTAAAGGAAACAGGCCAATTTTCCCACCTCTGACTTAGTTCTGTATTCTGGATGTATTTATATTCTATACTTTGAAAATAGTATTTAGGGGCAAGAAAGTGACGGAAAATGTGCATCCTAGTGCTCCACATTTATTCTTCCTCAGTGACTATCATGTCAATATTCCCATGATGCATATCAAAATGAACGTATTTTGTCAACACTAAGCTCAAACTATGATCTGAAAAACAACACTGGAGTTCATCAGAACTGAACATTTAGTAGTTAGAACTTGAATAAAATTTAAATAGGTATAAAACCAGATACGGCCCTGCCTCCAACCTGCTAAAACTCATTGCCATCTGTGTTTGTCCACAAATTCAATGTGTCTGAGCTGTGTCTACACACTGGTGTTAATAAAGGCATGAACTAGTTTCAAAATTTCCAAAATTCTTTTGGATTTTAAAATGAACATTTTAACATTTGTTCTGGAGTCAGCCAGGGTGGAATTTCTATGCCAAGTTTCTCACATTCTGAGTGACTTTGGCAAAATTGTTTAGTCTCTTAGAAGCTTAGTTTTTCATCTATAAAATAAGGACCATAGTAGCTATTCATCTTAGAGGACTGTTGATATAATTCACAGTAATTTATATAAAGCTCGTAATTTTGAACACTCTATAAATGATAGTTATTATGGTAACAGTGTTACTATTAATCATATTCACATGACTTCCATATCATTTTACATTATAAAATTCTTATAGCTCTAGGTATATAGTATATTAATGAAATGCAACTCAATTTAAAGAAAGTTTGTCCTTCAGAAGTTGGAAGACTTTCTTAGAAGTATTACATAGTGATTTTTAGCTTGAGGTCTCGAGAAACAATATTGTTTTTATGCAAATAACTCAGGGTGTCATATCCTGACACAGCAAGGTATGACGTGGCCCATCACTCCAGCAAGCCCCTCTGAAGAGCTGTAGGTGAGTCGGCTGACCATACTCTGAAGTCTCTTCGTTCCCGATGTGACCCTGTCAAAATGGAATGCCAATCCCCCTCCCGCAAAGCAAAAGCCTGATGAGGTCATTATGTCAGATTAGGTGTACGAGAATGTTCCAGTAAGCCTCACCCACAGCAGCAGAAGAAGGAAGCCGTAACAAGATCAGAACATCCATTAAGTATGATACCAATGACATGTTTTATGTTTCAACCTCTAGGACAAGCATGACTTTCAGGATTCTGTGAGAATAACTCTGGATTTTAATCTTACTGATCCAGAAAATGGGCCCGTTCTTGATGATTCTCTACCAAACTCAGTACATGAACATGTAAGTCAGATGTTTTTAAAATTCAGAATGCCTACTTGTAAGTATATCAGGAAAAACCTTGAAACACATAAACACATAACCCTAAATCAATTAAATATTTTTAAAAAGAATTAGACTCTTCTAGATTTTTCCCAATCTTTCTAATTTCATATTATTGGTGTTTAAGGGAACTATTAATGACACCCATTTTTATCTCACCTGAATTCAGGACCAATTGAAAGAAATCTCCCCTTTTATTCTAATAAACACTGGGTTGGTTGCGGGGCATGGTATAGGTACAACGGGAGCGTCCTCACATTGAAGCACAGACTTAGACACAGATAACCAACTAGGTCTTCAGCAGCCCTGATCCATCTCTGGCCTTCATCATGGGATCCCACCTCCTAAAATATGCGAAATGGAGGAGTAGAGCCGAACGTACGCTTCCTGTGGGCACACTGCTACCCAAGAGCAGAAGAGAGAGGAAAGGCCTGAGCAGTGTTTGCCCAGCTTCTGCTTCCAAATTTAGAGTCCACCACCTCATCCCTGAGAGTGAGTGAGGGGAGAGAATGCGGAGGGAGTCCCTAGTGAGGCACCAATGGAGAAGACGTTAGGAATCAGGAAATTTATTTTCTGCATACATGTATCTTCCACTCTCCCTTCCTTCCTACCAAACTTATTTATTGTCTTATACATACCAGGCATTGGAGCTTGCAGTCTAACCTAGGAAACAGATATTAAGTAGTAATTAGATTGTACACTATGGAGAATTTCAGAGCTCTACAGCAGTGTCAACCTAGGCTGGGGAGTCAGGAGAGCCCCCCTGCAGTTGTGGCATTTAAATTGAGCCCTGAAGGATAGGATGGTTTTCCATTCTATTTAGCGGAGTGGGGGGAACAGAGGGATAATGTGTGTGAAGGTCCTGAGGAAGGAAACTGAGCTACATTCACTAGTGTGGCTGAAGCTAAAGAGCAAGGGGGAGGCGATGTGACTTGGTACCAATGCACAAATCCTAAACTTTTTAAAGAGTAGTGCAATGCTTTTGAAAGCTTCCGTGTGGCCCAGTCATGGGACAGGATGCTGCAGTGTGGAGACTGATTGGAGGGAGACAGGAGTGGATGCGGAGACCAGTGAGATGCTGTTACTTTAGTTCAGGGAGGAAAGGAGGATGCCTGGGTGAGAGGTAGCGGTGGGAATGGAGAAGCAGGGAAGGGTTGGGGAGATATTTAGAAAAGGAGTAGAATGGATAGTCCTTGGTGTTGGATTAACGAGGAAGAGGAATCAAGCAAGACTCCTAGATGTGTGGCTTAACCACTTTCCACCTTCCTGACTGAGCTTTATGACATTCCTAAGTACTTGATTCTTTTTAACAGAAAATGTCATAATTAGAGTTAAATAGATTTAGATCTTGGAGCACTTAACTCGATATTTTGAAACTGTTCTTCTCTGGCAGACTAAAGCCAGTGGGAAATCATCCGTGAAAACTGCATTCTTAAAAGGACTAGAAGAATTCATATCCATAAGTAAAAAGGAATAAATATAAAATTTCTTAAGATTTTTGCAGTGTGAAGTTGATTCTCTTTATGAGTTGCTTAACTTATTTTGGCAAAACGTCATTTCTGTTACACAGATTGATAGGTGATTTTCAATAATGCTTAATTAAATTTTGAAAAGTAGTTTCCTATCACCGTTACAGATTCCCTTTGCCAAAGATTGTGGAAACAAGGAAAAATGTATCTCGGACCTCACGCTGGATGTATCCACCACAGAAAAGGGCCTGCTTATTGTCAGGTCCCAGAATGACAAGTTCAACATCAGCCTCACGGTCAAAAACAAAAAGGACAGTGCCTATAACACCAGGACAATAGTGCATTATTCTCCAAATCTAATCTTTTCAGGAATTGAGGTAAACTGTTAGTTTTTCATTTATTTTTTTTCATAACATTTATTGAACCTACTTTTCATACTACTGAGCTGATTGCTTTTATTACAGTTATTTTAGGAGAATAGAAAACATTTCATATATAAAAGTAGTGCTCACCAGTGGTGAACGTACCAAGCTTTTTCTTAAAGCTTTTGTTTTTATTGCTTCGAAGATATATGTCTTTTCTTAGATTCAGAATGAGGAAAGTATAGCTAATGTATCAAAATTGCATGTTTCACAGAGTCCTTAAACAACTAAAATTGTGACTGAGTCAAGTAAAACAATAAACATAACATCAAAACCAAAACAGTTTAAAGTAGATGCAGGAGAGACCTCTGTGCTGAACAAAAAAAAATCACATGTGGGAAAATCAAAATACCATTGCCCCTTTTCTATGCAAAATTCTTAGTTTGGCAAGAGATTTGTATGAAATGACTATGTCTCATTGATTCATAACAGAAATTTTTTTCATCATTTTAGCAAGAATATATCTGCATAAGATGCTGTATCAGGGATAATTAGTGTTTCCAAATTTGAACTTTGCTTTTAATTCTGATCTCCAAATAAATCCCCCAGAGTTAACATATATTAATATATAATGTATATATTTATATAAATTAATAATATATGATTCATATTAAGAGCAATACACTTATTATACATAGTATCAAAACACTGTTGTCTAGCTTCTGTAAATTCCCATTTTCACTGATATGTCTCACCGTTTGTTAGGATATTACTTAGAGACATGATGACTAAGATAGGCTTGAAAAAGTTGTCACATATTGACCAGGTGCGGTGGCTCACGCCTGTAATCCTAGCACCCTGGGAGGCCAAGGCGGGAGGATCGTTTGAGCTCAGGAGTTTGAGGTTGCTGTGAGCTAGGCTGAAGCCACAGCACTCTAGCCCGGGCAACAGAGCCAGACTCTGTCTTAAAAAAAAAAAAAAGATGTCACATATTACTATGCATATTTCAGATTAAGTTAAGAATATTAATTATAAATGCAAACATGTGAAATAATGTTGGGAAAATATTACCACTAACGTTTTCTCTGGAAAAAGTACTGTTAAAAATCATTGCCTATATCCTCTTCAGCTGACTTAATGGCCTTAGCAGAGAGGCAGTGCATCTCCTCTACTTATATTAACAGTAACAGTAATAATAATGACAGCAACCCTTTCTTGAGTCATCCTACGTGTTAGCCACTGTTCTAAGGATTTCACTTTTTTAATTCTCATTAATTCTTTTATAAGTAGATATTACTATACTGCAGAGATTCACGGGTAAAGCTTTTTTCACATTTTAACATTTCTGTAATTGCATTTTGCAACTGATAACATGTTTATTTACCTGGCAGCGTTATTTCTCCTTCCTATTGACATGTAAAATAATGGTGTACCACATGTCCAATGGCATTTTAAGTTTGATGGAATAGAGTGTGGTGAACTCCACTGAGGTGAGGAATCTTGGCAAGGAAAAAGCTAACAGTGGAGTCGGAATTTGAATCCTGGCTCTTATCCACTGTGCTAAACTTCTCTAATGACAAAATTCACTGTGGCATGCTGCGTGCCAGTCTGGTACGTGTGGATTATTTTGCTGAGCTACCGCAATCCCTGTGAGGTGGGAGCTGTTAATATTCTCATCTTACAACTGAGGATTTAGGCAGGACAGTGAGATGCACTTTGTATTTCAGGCCCCCTCGAGTGATGTTTTTAGATTTTCATGGGCTGTGGAACAGGTAGTCACAGAATGCTGCGACTCTCCCAGCTAAATGGAGAGGCAAATCTTGGCAAGGCAGTCACCAAGGCACAGCTGGGAAAATTCTTAAAAAAAAACTAGTTCAAGTATTTTACCTTCTTGTCAGCTCTAACTCTCTTTACTTTGTCTTCCTAGGCTATCCAAAAAGACAGTTGTGAATCGAAACATAATATCACATGTAAAGTTGGATATCCTTTTCTGAGAAGAGGAGAAATGGTGAGTAGAATGTACAAAATACATGTGGCAATTGAAGATGAAGAATAATATGCTCAAAGCCAAATATATAAATCCTTTTAATGATAGTTTAGGATAATGCAGATTAAAAACATGAATTCAAAATTGTGACAGCTTGGAATGTGCTATGCTCTGAATGTTTGCGTCCCCTCAAAATTCATGTGTTGAAACCTAATCACAAACATTCAGACCATAGCGATATGCAAAGGATATTACTTACTCACATTAAAAAGTACACAAATATTATATTCTATCTATTTTTGAGATGTGATGAGGTTTTATTTTGTAACATAATGTTTCTTAAATAACTTTGTAATTTGAGTTTAGGTAATATCATTTATGTAAACTGAACATTGTAATCAAAGCAAACTTTTTTTTATGTTACTAAAGATGTATTTTTTTTTATCTCATAGGTAACTTTCAAAATACTATTTCAGTTTAACACATCTCATCTAATGGAAAATGTGACCATTCATTTAAGTGCAACAAGGTTGGTTTATATGTGTGTGAGAGTGTATGTGTTTGTATGTACATAATTTCTTTTGTGTATTTGGAATATTTGCTTTATAGACTCACTGGCAGCTTCTTACAGCTTGAATGAAATCAGTAGAAGTGGAAGGCAATGGACCACTTTGCTTCACAAAAACACCCTTATCAGTAATTAGCAAAATAAAGAAAGTTTCATTTAATAAGAATAATTCATCTAACTAGATTTAATCATTGGTTCTGTGAACTATGGAATATATTATAATCACACATCACTTATA